AAGCGGAAAGGGCTGTACACACGCGAAGAAGAAGGAACTTTCGCCTTGCGAAGCCCCGTTTCAGAAGCGGCGGCAATATTTCTGTTATGGTACATTAAATTCGTACGAGTTTTCTAACACGGTCGTGTCGTCGATAAAGAATAAAAAAAACGAAACAGGGAGAAATACGTTTCTCTCCTTCCTCTTCTATCGTTATTTTTACCTTCTTTTTTTTAACATTCTAACCGTGACGTTGAAAAAAAAAAAAGAAAAAAGGAGGAGACTGAACGATCGATCAATTTGTCTGGTTCAGCCACGCATGAAATCTCTGGCCGGATGAAAAATGAAACGAAATTGGTGGAACGCGCACGCAGGACGAAAGTCCAAAGACCAGAGAATAACCAGTAAATGGAAAACAATTTACGCCAGGATTGTTCATAGATTCGATTAAACTTCCCTCTCTTTCTCTCGTCAAAGGACACTGTGCACGCGTGTGAAACAAAGCAGAAAAAAGGGAACAATGGAGGGTTAACGACCCTTCCCTAACAGTAACCTGTGTGTTTGTGTTCGAAAAATATTCCCAAAGTCTCTACACCTCTTCCTCTCTCTCGCAATTTTCTATTTCTACTCTCTTTTACTTCCTCCAGCGCGCAGTTTTTGCAAGGTGGAGGGATATTAGCCGGTCTTCGATGGTTTCTCGAACGAGCTCCTCGCGCTTTTCCAATTTCGTAGAAGCCCAAAGGGGAGAGAGACCAGTTTTCCAAGTCCCAGCAGGAAAGCTCCGAGTAGAATTACCTTGAAACCTAGGGAGGCAAGAAAGATCGAACGACGAGAGAGAGGGTCTTGGACAACGAAGGAGAGAGGCCTTTGGAATCGAACGTGCCCTCTACTTTGCGAAATTTGCATACCAAGGAGAAGGAGAAGATGACCCTGCGTGGAAGAGAGGAAAGGTTCTTTCTCCGAGGGCTAATGGTCTGCTTCTCGGCCATCTGCTCGGAATAACAATACATTTGTGTGACTTTTGTAGCGACAAAGGGGGAATCAAAAGTCACTCTAATTCGAAAATCCAAGGAACTCTCGTACGGGGTAATGTTCGTGAAAGACAAAGCAAAAATGGGGAATTATCGCGAGATTTTCCACGGAGAAAAAGTTTGCATGTTTGAAAAAAGGTTTGGATAGAAAGGCGACAAAGGCGCGTCAAAGGGAACAGAGAGACAATACTTGGCCAGGCGTTAATAACGAGCCAGCCATTCCGCCGGCATCATCGCTGTCACGCCGCTTTGTTCGCGTATCTGGCATAATCAGTCGTGTTTTACCCGAAATAGCGGCGCGGTATTGTCCCGTGGCGACGTCCGAACACGCGCGGAACAAATTGCACGCGGGAAGAAGAAGAGAGGAGAGAGAAAGGTGGTTACCGGCTGAGAGAAGTTTCGCTAGGACGAGGGTGCAGCTCGATCGCTTTTCATTCTTCTTCTTCTTCTTTTATCGACCTTCTTTCAATGGACCAGTTAAAGTTGCCGGGGAAACTTTTCTATTAATCGGATACCTCGACAGAGTTGTAGACACAGGATGGAGTGGATAGTAGCCACGGTGGTTTCAATCGGTTTAGGGGGACTTTGCCAACTTTCCTCTGCAGTGCTAACCTATTTCTAGCGATACACCAGGATCTTTCGATTCTTCCTCCACACAAAATCTACAAATAATTCCACCGATGTGGAATCCTAAGAGTCTCGAACAGCGAGTCGTTCGAGGCTGAAGCCTCTTGCTGACCGTCTACTACACAGGAAAGCATCGAGAAAGGGAGACAGGAAGCTCCAACACAGAGCTATCGATACCTTAGACGGCAGTCCGAGGAGGACACAAAAGGGAAGGGAGGCTCGAGCGCATTATGACCGATGAAATACCGTATTAAGGGTGGCCCGACAAGCCTCGATCCTAGAAACAGACGCACCTGCCACTCGTTCGTCCTCGATCCAGGACCCGGAACGACACACATCCTCCGATAGGATTCTTTCTCCCTACGCTCTCTCTTCTTTTATCTAACTACCCCTCTCTGTCTTTCACGAAACGACAAACACACGCACGCACACTGTGGTCACGAATTTCATTTCTCGAGAGAATAGGACAAGCGTATCCGATAGCCGCTTATTGGATCCAAGGTTCCCCGTTCTTCCCTGCGCCAGAAGGGACGACGATTCTTCGTTAAGAAGATTACCAGAGAGAGTCGGAGGAGAAGAGAACGCTACCTGACCGGCGATTATTATTTCACGAGGACGGGATAATAAATCGTTTACCTAGAGGAGAGTCGAAGGAAGCATTTTAGATGAGATAACAGAACGAGAGGCCGCTCGAAACACGCGGAGGATTCCTTTTTCCGAGATTCAGCGGAGGAGATAAGTCATCGAACGGAGGGGAATTGATGGCCACGCAGGTTTCGTGAAAGTTGGAAGAGGTTGGTAAGCGGTGGGGGACTTTTACGAGGTAAGGAATTAACGCACTGTGTGAGTTATGCGGTGTCGCTGTTTCAGAGGATTGATTGTAACCGTGACACGTGTATTTTAGAAAGGAATTTGTTATCGAGACGATTAACCCTTCCACTGCTATTGGCGTTTGTACAAGCTTTGAAAGTTTGTTCGCGTTGTGCCACTGGAGCATTCCATGTTAATTTCTTTTTTTTTATTGCACTCCATAAAACTTACAATCAATTCCACGGGGGAATTTTTAGCAATGTATATTGGCTTTGGTCAATGACACGATTAGTATAAGTATTACACGCGTTAAACTAGAGATTAAATAGTAACTATAGAAGATCCCATGTTAATTTCATCCTCTGCACTCTGCCACGTTAATTCAATTTTGAAATTTTAATACGACGCGACCAAAAAACTAAATTTCGCGGCCGTTGTGGAACATCTGAATCTACCACGCGCGTTATGCACTGAAATTTGCCGCGGCGAAAGGGTTAAATGCTACTGGCGCTTATACGAGCTATGAACATTTGTCCGCAGTGTGCTATTGGAGCCTTTCGTATCAATTTCCGCCTTAACTTCATCCTCTGCCCTCTTCCACGTTAATTCAATTCTATAATTCGAAACTTGAAGTTAATTTAACTTAAAATTTGAAAGAAATTTCGAAACGATGCGACCAAAAAACTAAAATTTGCCGCAGAGCGAAAGGGGTTAAGAGTTTTGCGAATATTTCTCCCCTGGGCGCACCAGTCAGTCACTGTGTTTAACAATTCCCCCGAGAAGAAACCGAAGAAGAATGCCATACGAAAAATCAACGATCTACCATCAATTTGAAAACTCGATTCACGCGTGTCGAAGCTTCGCGACAAACTGAGATTGCTAATCGCCCAACCGTGCGGAGATAGTACACTGTCTCCTCCGATTGTAACTTCGATTCGTCAAATAGACGTCAGTCCATCTACACGTGACAACACATGTATCGTTCTTCAAACATACTCAAAATAATTCAGGGCAATCTTTGATTTCTTTTCTCGTCCAATCAAGATTGAATAATCACTTAAGAATCTATTTGCAGAGAGAATCACGAGCCAACGTGTTAGACCTTCTTCCACTTCCATACCCCTCTCTGATCCCACCTATAACAAATTCTGTTTTCCAAAGGCATCGCTATACCCTACACCGTCCTACACAAAAGGGTTACGGATGTACCGGGTGTGTAATACACCGCGGATTTAAGAAAGGATCTCTCCAGGAGCTTTGTTTCTGACAGCACGTGCTCCATTGTGCTGGTGACAGTCTCACCAGCGGAACCTTCACAGCTGTCTCCCGACGAAAACGTCGAAGATCCCTTGGTCCTCCTTCGTGGAGAGGAAAAATTCGAGAAGCTTAATATATCCCGAACTTCGGAACGAGAAACAGAGAGAAGTAACTGTAAATTTGAACGACTGCTGAAACCTTGCGTAAATCAAACAATTGTTATCTTCGTCGGTATTAATTTTCTACGCCTTGTTTATTATAACCAACGTGCAAATAACCCAATCAAGCGAATCACTTTCGAGGAATTGTTTTTTTTGGAATTGTCGTGTTTTTCGACCGCCTTACCTCCGATGACTCACGATTATATATGCAAATTTTCAAGGCAAACGCGGGTATAAAATCGACTCGGTGCACAGGTTGGACATCAGAAACGAGAGACAAGCGGAGAAGTGTGAAACGGAACCGATACTACCGAAGCAAACAGTACAATCATGTCGAGATACGTTGTAGTAGCTATCCTCGTCGTTATGGCAGTCGCAGCCTGTAAGTATATAACACCATTTTGCATCGTTCGTTCGCGAGATACGTTTGGAAGATAATTGTCGATTTGAAATTTGATTGATTAGTCTCCCAATCGGCGACTGAGGGCCCGAATGCACCTAAATGTGCGGTGAACGAGACCTATTCTCTCTGTGGAAAGATCTGCGAGCCTAGCTGCCGAGATCCTATACCCAATCTGTTCTGCCCTAGAATTGTGAGTATTTTTTGAGTGTGTAGGATATGTAGTTAACTTGGGAAATTTTTCGATTGGTAATGTGGACGAATTTGTTATAGCAATGCACTCGGGCCACCGGAGGCTGTCGATGTGACGAGGGTTACGTGAGAAGTAATTCTTGCAATTGCATCCTTCTCAAAGATTGCCTTCGAGTAATTTAGTTCGTTAAGGAAATCAGTGTGATTTTGCAAAATTAGTTGACATAGATACGTGTGGCATTTAAAATAAAGGTTTTCAGGCAATGCAGATAATGTATTTCGTTACTGACGGACCTATCTCTGAAATCATACTGAATAATTAAGTTACAAATTTTTTTTAAATTTCAAGTTTTAGAAAATCTCGATATTTAGAAAAATCTCAATTTTTAACTAAAAGCTTTATTTAAGAGAACAGAATCAAACCTTATACACTCGAAAAACAGTGTCCAACTCGTCCAATCGTACGGAAAAAAAAAATCGTTAAACTTTCTCGAACACATGGAAACTTACAAAAGAAATAAATAATCACCATAGCAAACTCACCAAAAAGTTTCACTCTAAGAAGACCACTTAACAAGACATAGTTCGATCAATCGTTAAAATTCTCGCGAGAAGCAGATAGAACTTTTCCCAAGTGCATCCCAATACTGGAGGAAGGATTCGATTCGACTGTTCGGCACCAGAACTCGCGGCTAAATATGCTCCAGCGTCCCCAGATTACGTAAAACCGCGACTTTTCCTGGTACTGCCTGCCCACCAATCTATGCAGCTTGCTTGACCGTTGCTTGATTAATATCGACACGTGAGGTGACGTAGAGAGGCCAGAGAAGTCCACCACGTAGGCCCCGACATCTCGAAACTCGGTGATACGGGAAGTATTTGCCTGGCGAGGATCGTAACACCGGCCGTTACTGGATTATGCCGAACAATCGCGGTACTTACCATGTTGATAAATTCTTCGGCAGTGACGTCGTGTCGAAGCAGCAACTGGTTTCTCGAGCGTCAACGCAAGGAAAATTACGTACAGTTCTTTTCAACCGCGAAATTTCGCAATTGGGGAAGACACATGTGTCGTACAGCGGTGAGTACCGGGAATATATCTTTGGAAAACGTGCTACGTACACGGCTGAGATAATCTCTTTATGGCTTCGACCAGTTTTTACCGCAGGTGCTTAACTGTAGTTGCGGTAGAAGTCGTTCAAACTTCGCCAAACAGCGTCGAACTTGTACGAAATATTCGTATTATGACGGAAGATTCTGTCACTAACATGGGAACTTCCGTAACCCGAAAATTCGGATTTTTTGAAACTGTAGATTTGTAGGGAATCTCGAGAAGTATCCGGGTAATTTTTCGGTTCTTCGGGGTGAAAATAGCGCTTTAATAGCATCGTCTTGTAAGAAATAAAACGGCATTAAATTGTAAGAATCGACGGAAAAATTTCGAGTGAGCCAACCGGGAATCGAACCCGGGACCTTCGGCTTAGCAAGCCGAGGCTTTGCGCACTACGCCAACTACTCCCTCGCTATTTTCCCTCGTCGATTTCCTATTTGGGTATGGAGGCCCCGATATACTACACTATTTTTTTATATTTTTTATTTTTTATATCTACTATAGTTTTAAAGATATATAGGGAAATAGGTTAACACTTATCTTCATTCAAGGGTCGTTTTCACCGCGAAAAAGGGCCAAAAAATTACCCGATACTTCTCTCGAGGTCTCCTATAAACCTACAAAGTCTCAAACAAATCGGAATTTTCGGGTTAAAGAAAATGGGGAATCCAAGTTCCCTCGTAAGTCAGCCATCGAGAACGTCCACGATCAAAGAAACAATTTGTCCATCGAAAGAAGGAAGATTTCAGGGGTCAGTAAGAAGGCAACTCGCAAGAAAGTTCCTCAGAATGAACCAAGTGCCCTCGGCAAAGCTCGTTCCTATCATATTTATGAGATACCTCAAACCCAGGAACCGAGTTCCGCTCTCACACAATGTGAAAATCAGTAGTTGACGTGACCAGCACACGGCTGAGAAAGAAATTGGCTGAAAGCTCACGTCGCACGCTCTTCAAACGAGGAAATCCAGCCCTCGTCGTCCCTTTGAATCTGCCTCCTCTCTCCTCGATGGCGGGAAAAAGGGCGTTCCTTTTGCCTCGCTTATTTCCTTCCCGTCGAAAAGATTGCCACCCTTCGAACGTCCCATCTGAAAATCGCGACGCATTGCCACGCAATCAAGCGGCAGTTCGAATTCTCTCTCTGCCACGAGGGAGGAAAACGGCGAGAGAGAGTAAAATTCAACCACCCCTGCGCTGCCTCGAATCGTATTAGCAGCTGTCTACGATCTGATCGGGAGATCGTTACCATTTCGACCTGAAATCTTGACAACCAGAGCGAAACAGGACAACCTAAGCGCGGCACCGTACAACGCCCTTCTTTTGTTAGGTGACAATGCGACGAAATACAGCGGGGACACGGGCTCTGCCTAGCTCAGGATCAGAAAGATTGTACGAGGCAACGATTAGGGGCAGCCCAGCCTCTTCAGAAAGAAACGTAACACGAAATCTCTGTTTGTTCGAAGATTGACAGTTTTCCCAATGGCGAAAGGGACACAATGTGTGTACAGGGATCGATTGAAAATTAATCCTTCATTGTTGCACGGGTCTGTAGGTCTTCTGACGTTTTCCAAATATTTCAGCTAGCTGCGGGACGACATTATGTATAGATTTATCGAGGGAGTGTACACGTCTGACTAGCAGGTTCCTATTCCACTGTAAGATCGTTGGTACGTGTTCGAACGCATGTTCCCTAGATTTCTACGCCGTTCCGAGAACACCTCTCTAACCATATTGTCATCCCGATTGCGCAACCTTTTATCGTGGCTGAGCAGCAGCTGCGAGTTCCACGAAGGAAAAACGACCGAGAGAAGTCCTCTACCCGACGCTGTATTTTTCCGGGACAAAGTGTCGGATGGCACACGCAGGAATGTCGCTTCACAACACAAGGCAGGTATAATAAAACTATATTGCCTGGGAGATAATTGGCGGAGATACAACGCGATGACAATTGTAGAATCATGTAACGATTGTCAGCTAATGAGACTCATCTCTGTCTCCTCAGGTTACACCTCCGTCGTATATCATCGTCGTGTATAAAATGATTAAAAAATGTTGCACCTTCGTCGTTAACACGTCGTCTTTCCGCTTGTTCCCGGCGCAAAACGTCCAAGGTTTACCGTTTCCACGCGAATTTACCTTTCCAATCTCTCGTGTGTATCACCTGGCTAAATCACGAATACGGTAACGAATGTGGAAAGGAGAGCTGCTATTTTTTCAATTAGCCCATGAACGGAAGAGGAACGTCGCACATGTCATCTAAGTCGCGCCTGACCAGCGATTATTACGCAATGCTCGCGTGAGTTAGCTGGCTATAGATCCGTGGCACCTCTCTCTCTCTCTCTCTCTGGTGCACACGTTCCCTGGCTCGCAGCAAACAACTTACATAATACCGTATATTTATCCACCGGTACGAGTTTACTGCACTACCGACACCGTTCTCTCGTGTCCGCGGTTCCGCCACGCAAGTCGAGGAAAAGCGTGCGCGTACACGGCCGTACGTGTTCATTACGTGGCCCCGCGGCGCTCGGACACGTGACGCTGTTGCTGTGTCTCATTAAGAAACGACGTTGCCTATTTTCGACCACACACACACACAGAATTACTTCTCATCGACACATGTCGCGCGTTCCTCCCGACACGCGACACTTTATATAATTATCTCGTAGACGAGGTCCTTTGTCCCTGCTTTTTCGCGTTTTTCGTTGATGCTGGTATTACGAGCATCTTGTCGGCGAGAACGTCGTAAATCTCCCGCTAATGACTTCGAGAGTTGTGAATTATCCAGCCGGTGATGTTTGAGGATTCTTGTATCAGGTAGCGGAAGAGAGTTTTGGTGGAGGTAAGTCAAAGGTGCGGAATCTTTCGTTAATTCCTGGCGTGCAAGCTTTTATTAGGATATTGTCGTCGATCGAACGAGTTGCGAGGAATTAGGCATTATTTATCCCTAATTTGGCGGTAATTTATCCCTATAAGACGAAATTTGCAATTAGGAGAAACGAGTGTAGGGATTAACACTTTAGCCCCTTAACATATGACAACGCGTCAGACTCGTGGCAGAGACTCTGGCGAAGATGTGAGAAAAATAGTTGTATTAGTAAGAAAAATTCATTGTAATCCTAATTTTCGTTTGAATTTGTAGCACCGAGGATTGCTAAATGTAACTAATCTGTAACAGATTAGTTTCTGTTACCTGATACAGTACTAAAACAGAAAATGGCTGACGCTTAAATGCACAGTCGGAAAAGAAATCATAGGTTAAGGGGTTAAGGGGCATGTTTGTGCAGAAAAAGATATGATATCTCTTGAACAGCAGGTGGATGAATATTTATATGGTTAAAAATCGTCGCTGTGCCTGCAATAAGCACCATGTCAAATTTTTTAGTAGAAATTTTCTGTTTTACAAGACTTTGTAAAAATGCATGTTTCTACGAAACTCGTAAATATTGCCAATCCAACAAAATAGCCGGCGCTTTAAGTGTTAATATAAACATATAAAAGAATGACACAATAGGCATCTGTTTAGTATGGCTGGACGCTGATATATTTTTTTCTTTAGTCTTGTCGAGCTCTTATCGTTGCGAAATGACGTGCCTTTTCCTCGCGTATAAAAATGAACAATACTTAATAATTGAAATGCCGCCTTTTAATTTATTGCCTAGATACAACACGTAATTTGTCACGTAAAATGAACCATCGTAGAAACTTCCAAACCTTTCACGAGCCGTCCAATCCACAGAAAACCCACCACCTTTCGTACTCTCCAATGAAAATTAATCGTACATCGCTAAAAGTAATCGCCTCAGACGCGGCAGCTATCGCAACCGAAGTAAAAACGTCGGCGGAAAAGTCACGAGTCGAGTCGTAATTCACGTTGTGAAAGTAGAAAAGCAGCTAACAAAACTGCAAACGTGTCTGGTAGACTAACAATCTACCCACGTGAAGTCACACTTGACGCAACCTCAACCAGACCAATCTAATAACATCTAACGTCTATGTTCAACATTGTTCTCCGCCGCCGTTATCTTCCGCGTGTCTGCGTCTCTACCTCGATTCGCGTACAGCGAGAGCGAGAGAGAGAGAGAGAGAAACAAAAGGAGCAACCGCGAAAACGCATGGAAACGTCGATAGCAATGGTGTGTCTGAGCGAATTCTTCGCGACTTGTTTTTCGTCTGCGTCGTGCAAAAGCTACTCTGCTATTCCGGGCATGCGGAGAAGCGACGCACGTTTCGAACGGAGTGGAATTCCAGCCGCGGATGTCCATCCCAGTGGATCTCAAAAGAGCTCCTCCGACTGTGTATTCCTCAGTCGTTCCTCTTTTATCACTAACGAACGCGTACACACTCGACATACCGATAAATTAAACAAGCACAATCGAACTTGAAAGAATGTCCACCGAGAGAGAAAAGGAGGGAAGAAAAAAAGATGGAGCTGTTATCGCCTCCCACGACCTCGCACCGCGCGCCATAGATGCTCGCATAGACCGAGGCATAGAGACAGACAGAGAGGCATAGAGGCAGACAGGCAGACAGCCT